TCTCATATATATTGTCTTACATAATGTGTTTATGTTTATGTTTGTTCACTTGTTTACATATTTAATTATCATTTACTTATCTATCGTGCAGTTAATAGTTCATATCTGTACTTCTTCAACTTAATGTAACGTGGACCTTTTCGTACATATTGGCTCATAAGTTCCAGTTGCCATAACTAATGCTTAGGCAGCCACACCTATAATAACTTTCATGCCGAAAGCACTTGAAGACCTTGGGTCTCCTCTTGCTGTTAATGCTAGAGGATGGCTGGCATGGCAGAATTAATATCGAGAAATGTTTGTGAAGAGAAGTTCATGCTGTTTCATGTTTCCATGCTGCATTTTTAACTTTCTCCTTCATGTGGAAAATATTAAGGCATAGAATGTGCAAAAAAGTGAGTACTAACGAACCTTCGAACTAGAAGCGGAAGTAATTGCGTGCAAAAATATTTTTTTTCGTTTCATTATGTTAGTTTTTGAGTATTGCATCAAAATTGCTAAAAGTTCACCTAAAAGTGGTTGAAACAATAACGTTCCAAGCAGTGTTTTTTTTATTTCTTCTCGTAAATTGTTCTATTGTAATTTACAGAAGTGCTGCATTCTACTATGCATGTTGGTAATTTAATGCGAAAATATAATCGAACTTCGTAAAGTGTCGAAAGCCACAACTTCCAAACATCGAGATCATCAGGATCGAAACAATATCTCATTGTAAGCCGTTAGATTTAAACAAAAAGACTGACTTTTTTTGAAGCTTTCAACTTTTTTGAGGACCAAATCTTGAAAAATTACTGTTTGAATTAATCGTGACATGGTCTTGAGTGTAGATTTGATAAAAAAGATATAATGGAAGAGAATGGCACTTCTTTCAACAAGAAACGCGCCATCGTACTAACTAAAGAGTACGAAGGATATACCAAAATTTAAACATCAAAGAGCAAACTGTAATCCTTTCATGGGTTCAAAACTTTTCGAGAAACCGTTTGACACTCAAGCCTCATTGACTTGCGGATTCACTCATCGAGCGGATAATCGCATGTAAAACGGCGCCATCGCAGCACTATCAGGAGTGATAACGTCGGGCGATTACCCGGGGCTTTTTTCGCAATTTCATGTCATACAGCATGGAGCGATGCCCCTTGCGATTAACATAACCAGACTGGTAGTCGCGTATAAAAACATAGATAACTCTCGAAGGGTTAATTCCCCTGTATATTGACATATGTGGATCTCTTCAACGCCGCAGGACTATAGATAGGTCTCGCTTGCACCTGTAAGGAGAGATTCATTGTCTGGAGTTCCTTGCGCGAAATCTGACACCTTTAGTGTCGTGACTAAGCCAAAATGAAGAAGCTTCGCGGTACAGTCATCGCACGGTCTCTCACTCTGCCGAATGACGTCACTCTTCGATATTTTCCAATCTCTTCCATATATTCATGCTTTTTATGAGAAATTCTGAAACACCGCGCCATTTTCGACAAAGCATGCTTTACAATAGAAGCACCCTACAGAACATTTCATGTTCCTTCAACACTATCGCGTTCTGCGACTCCTCGCTTTGGCTACTCTCTGAGCTGGCAATATTTACTTTTCTTGAACACTAAACACCTGTTCCGTTATAAAAGCACCTCATGGATGTGCTTCCTTTCAGTTCCGATTTATGCTTCTACGATGCTAAGTTTCATTTACTTACACTGGATGAGTTTTTTGATGTTCAACTTTTTTTTGTTAGCAGAGCACTTAAGGTGCGGAGAACCTATAGGACATGGAACTCTTCTTTTGAACCTCCTGTCTTTCCATCAGTAATGTTTAGATATTGATAGTCCACCAGTTCTTCTAATTTTTAAATTTCTTTCACGAAAGTAAAAATTAAAGATAATAAAGGGCAAATGACTATTAAAAATTTTTATAATGAAGTCCACAAAACATATTTCCACTCAGTTCTGCAGGAGCACCAAACTCTAAGAATTTCTTCAGCTTATCAGCACCTTCGTTTGTGTCAAAACTGTAAAGAGTTCTGTAACAGGAAGTGGAAGGAAATTCAGTCATTGCTCTCGAGGAACTGCAATTTCAAAAAGAAGGAGCGATTGTTGATTTCCAGTTCAACTAGATATTCAAGAAAAAAGTGTCTCCAAGTGGTCCATATCAACTTATTTCAAGTCACTTATATACATCTATTTTTCAACGTAAACAGTGGCCAGAATCGTATAATATATCAGGTACCTTCCGCAGAAGAGTTTACGCAGATATTCTTTTCTTCGGGACATTCCATGCTGATTTGTCCCTCCAAATTAGAAGGGAAACTTCATTTCGCTATGACTTCCTCCACCTTAGTTTTTCGCTGATTTAAAAAAAAGATTTGCACTCCATGTTGCTCTTCTACTGCGCTACCGTAATTTGCGGCGCGGTAAGTAGCTCGCAGCGATAAGAATCTTGATGTAAGATACGGTACTAGGAAACTCGTTTTAGTCAGCTGCGTACAACTCTTTTGCGCAAAGAAAATATCCATTTTATAGCACCAAGGATACCTCAAAATAGCTGGTAAATTTTTCAAGTAGCGATTACGTGCAATTCCTATTTTGCAGAATGGAGGGTGGTGCTTATGTTAGAAAGGTGGTTGCAGAAAACCTCAGGGAAAGGGAGCCACGCAACAGTCCCAAGTAGGGCTTGACTCTGAAGACACCTTCAAGAACTTTTGTGCTCTTGAATTCCTCTCAAAAATCTTGAAAAGGCATCAGTCGCTCCCAAAAAACGAGACATTGTGCATTGAGCAGGCAAAATCTGTAAATTTGCATAAGCTAAAGTTCAGTCGTGCTATGCAGTGCTATGTATGATGTCAAACTTATGAAGTTTGCACAAAATACTCAGTGCGAACTAGATTTTCTATGACTCAGCGATAAAAGAAAAAGAGTTTATTGTTTTAGCCACACAGCCGACAATAGTATTGATATCCATTCGTTATAAATTGTAGGAACTGCAATTCAACGATTTCACACATCATTGATCCAAATGCTTAATCATTTATATGTTTCTACAATTTATCATTTTGTAGTTGGTCGCAGGGTTGATATCTTTGTCATAGTCGCTGCCACTCTTACCCAGGTCTTCGGTTTAGCAAAAGTACTTTCCTTCAACCCAGACGAAAATTTTGTGAGAGGTTGCTGTTGTTCTTGGCGTTTTCATTTGAGGGTGTGCCATAGTCCGTTACCAACAACTATACGTATGTGAGTATAGAACACTTCAACTGCCATATAAATTATCATCACGTATCTAAGGCTACCGAAGAATTCTGCTATCAATTCATGTCTCCCGGTAAACGGCTTGATACTTCTAGGGTTAGTGATTTACACTGATGCTGCTAGGCTGTTTGCGCCTTGAACATACTTTTTGTCTTAATAGGAGAAAACAGACATCAGATCGCGAGTTTACCTCAGGGATTGCAATCTGTGACATCCTAGAGGAGATCAAGTTTGATTTGGATGAAAATTTTGGTTTTTCTAACTTGTATCACCATGCGGCGGGTCGTTAAATATGACGTAACACAATAGTGGTATATCCAAGCCTTTGAAACAATTGTTCACACAAATCCCACACAGTTAGGCAACAACTGTGATCGATATACCGTTTGAAAAGCAACATTCATAGAGCAGTTTCGTACAATATTTGTATCTAAATAGGCGGTACATGGAAGATCATTTTCTGACCAGGGTGTATCCTATATATCTTTTTGTGTTTCTGACCTCACAACAACTCCAGCAATGTGCAGTTTGGACCTATAAAAAAGTAAGGCCAAAGTGACTACTACGTTTTTACCCTCAAACTCGTCTAAATAGCAGCTTGCAAAAAGTGGTAGCTTTGAATATCGAATGCTTAGTTCGCCTTTCAAAGAGAGGGAAAGTTACGTGAATTTGTCTTTGAATATTCCAATAATGGAGATAACTTTTTGATCTGCTGCTCCTTGTATCCCTTCCTAGTTTCTATACTCGTATTGTATTCTTTGAAAAGGAACATACTGTTTTCAACCGCTACAGTAGCTCAGAGGCACTTCAAAAGTTCTTGTATCTGTACCATAAGCATAAGTAGAAGTAGATATGTCATATGTATAATAACTTACTAAGAAAATCGTATTGAGAAATCTGGTAAACACATGCCATGTATATGCAGTTCATTTGAATCAAAAAATTTCATTGACATTGATCATTGGTCACTTTGCTTGAACAGAATTATTCAAATGCTATCATATGCTGTCTACTGCACCTGTAGTGAAAAGGGGGCTCATTCTCACTTAAAATCATTATTTTGAAATGGTTGCGTTTTCTTAAAAGGAGCTTGCCAACAGATCTTCTTAGAAAATGTTTTCTGAGAAAACACTTTTGGTTATGGTAAAGATAATGATGAAAAAATGATGGTAGAGTAACAATGAATTTTTAGTGATAAACTTTCAAATAAAAATGCTTCCAAATCAAGAAATTGTAATCTCTTATTTTGTGACCGAATATTGAAAACAGCCTCGAAAAATCACGGTGTCGTTACGCCTCGGACAGAGTTCGCGATTTGATCGTCGCGATTCAATCGCGACAAGACAACTGTCACGAGTTCATTGCATACCGATCAGCCATTTCGGTTGCGATACTTTTCCAGCACGAAGTTTTTGAATGTAAAATGAAGATGAATGGAAATCGCTGCGATCAAATTGCGTGAGCTCTGTCCGAGACCTTTAGATTGGGTACAAAGCTAATCTGTTAAAAACTTCTTTTCTGTGTTGATGTCTTTTTGTGAACTTTCTTTCTTCTATGACTCTATGTCAGTCTTTGTGAGGCTCGGTCTCAATCATCGCGACTGAGTTAGCAGTCCCGCCTATATCCGGTTTTCCCATGAATCTCCCCTAATTGGTACGTTGTTGAGCTAATAATGCAAGTGATATCGTTTTAATGCTAAATTACTGTGTTCCAGAAAGTATAAAGAAAACGAAAAGAAATGGTGTATTATCATTTTAGAAAAAAATTATGGCAATGGGATCGCTTACTTCAATCTGTCTTTCGATGATGTTGTTGGCATGCCTGGCCGGTGCGTGTCACAGTGAGTCACTAGCCGATTCACCAATCCCTCAGCTCTTCACACTAACCGTCAACTTCTTCTTTCCTTTTCCTTACCCTCATCCAAATCACTCTAGTTTGACAGCTGAGTGAAGAGCTCAGAGTTGTGCGGTGGGTAGTGTTAGGTAGTGGCTTATTATGTTATTTATGTTAGCTTCTCAGATGCTAGGAAAATCAAGGTCACTAAAATTTTGCAGATCTACCAGCAATGCAGTTTTTGGGTCCGAGAGCGTACATACTTCAACAACGTATGGAGTGCAAAGGCGGCAAAGTTTACGACATTGACAACGTCCAGGTAGGCACATAAGAGCTAGTCCTGGCCTAAGCTCCTCATGTCTATGAAGGGGAAACTGGGGAGCGGTAAGTAAGGCGCACATAGGTGCGCAGCAGTAACACCTCTCAATTACCCCTAGAGGCAGCTTCGATTTGCGATTTTGAGTTTGGAATATACCTTGAACCTAATGAATGTTCTCATAATGCTAGAGGGGTACAATTTCGGCCCTTACGGACCCGGCTAAAAAATAGGAAAAAACTTCCAAATAGCAAGACAGTCAGACCGCCACCTTTCAGAAAAATGTCTATGACTTGTTAGTGTATTAGCTGATAAATTCTGGAAAAATTCGCGCCTTGTAACAATATGACGGAAATTGAGATACTTATTTCCTACTTTATCTGTTTAGGATGTCGAGCAGTGCAGAGAGGCGTGTCGACAGTTTGATTGCGCTGCTGTCAACCTCTTACAATTGGGTGAATTCGCGTTTAAATGCGAGATTCTCAACAGCGTATATGGAATGCAACCCGCCACTGGGGCTGCTTGCTACTATGCCTCTGATGCAATGGGTGCTTATGGTCTTGGCGGTTACGGCGGCTATGGTGGTTACTTCGGACGAAGATAGGTTGAGATTTGTGTGTTGTACATAAAGCTGTTACTGTGACCAAGAGAGCTAATTGTAGATGTTGTTGATAATGAATGATGTATGTATTTAATTTGTTATTTGATAACAATTGCCATTCATTTGAACATATTTTATACTTTTTTCTAATGCTTAGCTCTCAGTGTGGTTTTTCGAACATGTTTGTCGAAATAAATAAATGTACACACATCACTCTACTCTACTCTCACCTCTCATTGCAGAGTACTGTACACCAGCTGGCTTACCCGGCTCCATCCGGCCCTATCAATAATTGTGACGACATTCTTACATATTTCTGTGCAACCTGTCCTTCTCTTCTTTTATACGCAAAATTTCTGCCCCCACTACATTTTCGTAATCAACATGCTCACTTTCTCCGGGTAGAAGACGAACACGTCAATTGGGCAACGCCTCCGCGTGTTGCTGGTCCTTTCGTTCTACTGTTGTGCATCGTTTTACGACCAGTAGTCCGCGGAGGTGGTGCCTAATCGAGGTGTTCGTTCCGCTATCCACTTACCCCTTTACACCAGCTCCCAGCTTTTTAGGCCAAAATTATGGAATGATTGCAATGGGTAATTCTCCAAATTAATGTCTATCACCATACTCACTTACCTCACCCCCCCCCCCCCCTTACCCTATGCCAGTTCAGAGCCCTGTATTTTGCAATTTGCAAAAAAATTTAATAAAGTTAATGAAGGTGGTCGATACGCAATCAGCATGCTCACTTACTCCCTGCGCCAACGTAGTCAAATTTTGCAGATAAATAAAATCGATTATCGATAACGAAAAGCCTACAACATCCGCCCCGCCCCGATGTGTATATTTGCATACTATGGTTCGGATAGGCTCCGGAATGGAACCTTCTATTGGAACATACATCTTATATATAAAGCTGAATGTCTGTTTGTATGTCTGTATGTCTGTATGTATGTCTGTCTGTCTGTCTGTCTGTCTGTCTGTACGTATGTTCCGAATAGAAAATTCCATTTCTGAACCGATCGGGACCAAACTTAGCACACATACACTTCGGGCCCCGGCGGGTGTCATAGGCTACTTTTCGTCATTGATCGATATCGATTTTATCGATTTTTTGCAAAATTTGAGCTACAGGGCTGGGAGTTGGCACGGGGGGTAATCGAGCATGCTGATCACCCCCGTGGGGTGATCAGCATGCTCGATTACACCCCTCTGCCAAATTCCAGCCCCCTAGCTCAAATTTTGCAAAAAATCGATAAAATCGACATCGATCGATAACGAAAAGTGGACTGTGACACCCGCCGGGTCCCGAAGTGTATGTGTGCCAAGTTTGGTCCGGATCGGTTGAGAAATGGAATTTTCTATTCGGAACATACGGCGGAGCCGGGTAAGCCAGCTAGTTTCTGCTGTATTTTCAAAATGTCTGTGCTTGGTAGAAGTGCCTTTTACGATGTTAGGCCGGTGTTTTCAGTAATATTTTGCTACATACATAAAATGTATACAGATTAATTACAGACAAACAGTTTAGTTCATGTTGTGTAGTGTTATTCTGCCAGCCAGGTCTTTGTGGTCGGTTTTTACTGTTGACCTTACGTTTCGACAAATGCCGCCTTTTTCGGAATGACAAGAAAATGCGGTTATATCACCTGTTAGTATTTGTTAATTATACGACCAACGTCTCATCAACCTTCCGTCGTTTGATTTTTGTCGAGGCGCAGCGTACCCAGAAACAATCCAAAACGGATTCGCCAACCTCTGGTCCACCGCGGACTCAGTAATCCGCACGAATGTGACGGACATCACTGAAGTTGTTCAGTGAATCATGAACTATATATATGCTGCAGTTCTAGGTTACATAATGACGTAAAGGGCGATATCAACCGTTATTGTCACACGTTCATTTTTGTTGATCCAGCCCGGATTTTTCGTGTAGGCCTCCAATTTTCGTGCCGAAATTTCATCCTCGTGCGCCAGAATTGTACACTTCATATCAATATCCCTGGCATTGGTGCCTCGATCCTATATTTTACAAACGGTGATTTCACGTCTTTTGTTAGCCAAGTGTTCATTCATTCACATTTAGACCGTTCCCGTCTCTCTTTACACATAGTTCCACTCAGGCATTCCAGCTGATAAACTGTACTTCGATGGCGCAATCACCTATTTTCGTAAGGGCGACGACGCATTTTTCTGATTTGCAATCTCCTCATACAATCTATTCCCAATCGACAGATTTGTGATTTTTATTACTGGGAATGTTGACCAGCATTACCTATCTGTGTGCTCGTATTCTGCATCGGTTTACTGCCTTACTAGAACTATCGGAGGTAAGTGGCAAGAGGGATCTTGTTGTCATTGTTGTTGCTTCGCATAGGACCAGAGTTTGCGAGTCGTCTAAATGTGCTGTCGAGACCGCGCAGTAGTGTATAGTCATTGCTGCCAGCAATTTCCGATGCCAGTTGTTGCGATTCGAGTCTCTCTTTTCATCCGTGCACGCTTCTATAGTGGTCTTGTACATGTTGTGAATGATGGAACGTTTTAAAACTGTAAGACGCGTAATAGTGCTTGGATATGTACGTTTTTAGGGTTTTTCTTTCGATACCATTTGATTCAGACAGTACCGTCAGACAAATCTGATTGGATGTCTAGAAAAAAGCACCATTGCTTGTAAATCAGAAGAATGCATCATGTGAGGAGGAACGGGAAGAAGCCCTAGTGTTAAATATTAGACGGGAAGTCCAAAATTTCAGAAAGCTATCTCAGTATAGGGTACAATCTTATCTTCTACAATCTTATAGGTACCTTGTCTAGATACGAAACTACACAGAAGAACGCAAGAACATGTATGAGCTTTTAGAAACAAAGTATAAAAATCCTTTAGATGGATCCAAGACCAACGCTAATAATATTTTTTTCAATTCAAGTTTTCTGCTTGAAACAATGCTCTGAGGGCTTCCGTTGGCCTTGGCAAAATGAAACATGCACAAAAAGAGGCAACTCTCTGTAGCTAAATTTATAAGAAATTTTGAAAGAGGATTACCCAAGCTAACAGAAACAGCTATTACATTGCACAGTTTCCTAGGATAGAATAGCTATAAAAAGCAGGAGAATCTTTTAACAACATTTAAGTCTATAACCCATCTGCTGCCTAGGTATTGAATAAAGGCTACCCAATAGTTCCGGTGATATCCCGCCTGCATAAAACTGTGGTTGATCCGAAGTGTTCAGAACGATATTTCTCAAATTGATTGTTCCAGCTGCAAAATTCTGAATAACTCTCGAAGCCACAAATAAAATTTTCAGTTCTACAAATCAAGTAGAAACCTATGAATATGGATTATTCTATGTAAAGACGAATCATTACACACTAGACGCCGCTGCTCCAGATATGGTTACTAAAGAGTACATACTAAGGAGTACATACACCTAGTACATATGTAGAGCATGAGGTAACAGATTCACAGAAAATCAATCTACTCAGAAGTAATGGAAAGTGGTGTTGGCATGAAGGTCTCAGGGAAATCTTTCACGAAAGATGCTACGATAATCATTTCATTTCCAATTTCATTAGATACGCTCGGGGTGTTCCATAGAGAAAAAAACAAACAATGAAAGTTGTTAGTTTTACACTATACACGAATAGCAACAGAACATCATATGCTTCAAGCCCAGACTTCATTCAAACTAAAGAAAAAACGACTTAGCTTGCAAGAAGATTGGTGGATATTACAAATGTCAATAATGAGTTATATTCACAGAGATGGTACCCATGCACCCGCGTTAGCCAGCAAACGATCTTAAAGAATTCAAACAAGCAAACGACGGCGAGTAAGCACCCACCCCCCTGCTGAAGGGAGCTCAAAACTCCATGAGCATTGCTACATGTGCGAAACAGAATACTGTTACGTAACTGCACGTCGAATCTATGAATCTAAACAAATTGTAATTCAAGGAGGTAATACCCATATGCCCCTTCGTTTGCTAGCCACGATCTCAAAAGATTTCCAAGAAACAAACCGGAGCTTATAGCCCAACCACTCTGCCGAGGAGAACCCACTCCGACAAGTAAGCAACAAGCATAGCATGATCTTCAAGTAATCAAAGCAAGCAAAGTGTGCGAATCAGACTAGGACATAGATGTGACCCAGGCTTGAACCACATGGTGGTGAGAAAAATGTTAATAAAAAGCTCCCGCATGCCATGCGCTGGAAGCTTTGAAAGGACCATCTATAAAAAGATCTTCGGTTGGTTGGATAGTAAGTAAATCCTTCCATCAGAACAACGCGGACTCCTTCCTAGGTGCTCCGCCACCCACAACTTTACTTACCGATTCGCTCTTTAACGGAAGTACAGCCCTCACTGAGTCTAAGCCGTAGACTCAATTTACCATTTCTCCAAGGCATTTATAAGGCGAAGCACAGGACACTTCTTTAAGCTTGAAAACTACGTTATCAAAGGGCGTCTTCTTTCTTGGCCATAATCTTATCTAATTGAAAGAAGTATGACAGTTCGTGTGGGGAGGATGTATTAACGTTATTATCGTTAACGTTGTAGTAGTGGAGTCCCACAAGGGGGCGTTTTTTCTCCTCTTCTATTTTTGGTTTACGATGCTGTGCTCCCCACTCTCTTGGAGAATCTTCCTGATATAAGTACAAATCTTTGCTGATGACATCAAATATATCACTGCTATGGCGTAATCAACAACATATTGCCTTCGATGCACACTCGTCTTCTATCCAAAGGATGATCTTGTGAACTAGATATTAAATTCCCTGTAGATCTTACCGAGGCCACTGTCATGCAATTAGAGGAATTTTCTTGTCGCACTTATAACTAAGACGGTGTTGATCTAGAGTCCTCCAATCTCACGAGACTTGGGCGTAATGTCCAGTAACATTCTCACTTTTTCCACCCCTATAGACTATATACTAATGACATACTATAAGATCGTATCGAGGGCCCATTTGAATCTACACATTCGGCTGCGAAGGCGGTCGCGTCGCGCGCAGCCTTTGTCATCGGGTTACGCTTGTCACTCGGTTGGAATGTAGTCATCGTGCTTTACGTTGCATGGACTGACAGAAACACTCTGCTATCATCCAAAATGGACTTAACTCACCCTGGACTTAGAATGGAGTTGATGGACTGGACTTAAAATCATATCCAAACTGGCATGTGATCCGACTAGTTGCTTTTAATTGCGTGGCAAGCG